GTAGTACTGTACCATCATACTCTGTCTTGCCCCACGGTATTAACTATGAATTGGAACCTCCAGCTGTCATAATTTCTGCTAGGTGGGTGGACGTGTGAGAATCGCTCCAAAGGGGAGAGGGGGATACAGAGATTTTCACCGATTGAAAGAGAGACAGTGCATCTCCGGCTCCGACTCCGCTCGTCAACTATTAGCTAACGGGCACCCAGAAAGTTCGCGGTTCCCCAGCTTCTCACCATTACGTCACGCATTTTCCGCAGGGTGTCATTGATTTTCACACGCCTCTTGGGAAATGATAAGAATGCCAAAAGTTCCAGGCCAACATAAGCGTGCGCAGTTGGCTGCTGGCTTATATATCCTTGGAATGTTTGGCATCCTCGGCATCCTTGGAATCCTTGGTATCCCGATGTTGGGGTAGGTTATAACTAAGCTCCGCTCCTGTTCCCTGCATACTGTACACCATCGATCGATGGAATTTTCTTTATACGCTCGCTGATAAGAGTGCGTGGGAAAAGTTGCCAAGGTTATGAGAGGGTGGGTGTGACTGGGAGAGTTAATAAAAAGGAAAAAAGTTTCGGGCTGATAAGGAGGAGCTGATTAGGTGGAGTGCCACTTGAGATATGCTAAAGTGCAGATTGGGGATTATTTAACAAGTAACGTGACTAATCTAATCGTAACTAATTTAATTGTAACAGAAAGCAAATAGCTATTTGAATTAATAAAATCATAATAATTAATCCCAAATTATTACACAATTATATTATTGATATCATAAAGAGAATTGCAAGTAAATTCAAATCATCAAATAAGTAAAAATTGACTTGGTTTTAGGCTCGATGCAAGAAGACATAAGTGGGAAAATGTAACTGATCTAGGAACTCAAAAGGTAAGTAAGCCGAATGAAAGTAGCTCATCCTCTCCCAGTAAACGACGCATCTCCGAATCTAGATAGAAAGAGGCCATCCATCTGCGGCGTGGCACTTTCTAAAGGGAATCTGCGGATGCCTGGATGAACCTGATATGCCCGCTTATGACATTAAATCCGTTACAAACTCGTGAACCGACTGACTCTGGAATTGTTTAGTAGTAGAAGTGGAGAAAAGTCGGCAACCTGGCCAGAGAGTTCGTGATGTGGCATCAACAGTTTGTCATTAAACATTTCGACAATAATTTGCTTTGTGCTCGCATTTATATATATAAGTACTTCTCCTTTGATTCGACTTCCCGAATTGTAACAGTAGACGACGACCTGGACCTGGAGTCGCAGTCTGAAATTGTTATGGCAGGTAATTTACATAAAAGATAAGTGGGTCCATGCAGCACACTGCACAATTATTATGGGACCTGTCTATTGTGCGGATAGTTGGGGAGACTCTGACTTGGACTCTAAACCGAAAGCCCCAACCACGATCTCGCCTCCCCCTTTGTTATTGTAAACAGATATGTGCTGCCTTTTTGTTTTCTGTCCGGGAATGCTACCAGTGACTTCCTAAAGGCATTAAAGGTATCAAGACTTGTCGCTGCCCGCCTTGTTATGCAAATCCCGCTCAGGTTGCGTATACGACGTGTGTAGCCATAAGGTAGCGGCTGTGTCGGGTAAATGTGTGAACCACAGTCTACTCAGTCTAGAACCTAAATGAACACCCAACTTTTCGATAGACAATAACCCGGCAGCCCTGACCCGCTTAGTTAGCGTTATCGACATCGTCGCTCCTTCGCTCGTCGTTCGCCAATAAAACAAATTAAAGTCAACAATTGACGGCGGTTAGGACCTGAAGCTACTCGCCTTGAAAAAAAGCCGCAGCCACAATGGATTTCTGGCCGATACCGCTTGCCTGACTCTGAGTCCAAAAGCCCCGACTTGCTGTCTTATCAGACGCCCGAAATCGATGGCGCGACCATTTGGCAATAATATTTTCGTACTTAGTAACTGCAATTGTTTGCCCGCAGTTGCACTTTTCCACAGCATTTACAGCCTTTTCTGTTGCATTTTCCATTGCATTTGCATTCTGCGTTGCTTTGCCTTCGATTCTGCGTTCCGTTGGCCGCGTTTAATTTGGCCTAATGTCTTGAAAAAGCGCAAAGTTGAGCCCTTGGCGGCAGTCCAGGCCAAGCAAAGCCAAAAGGAGTTGTGGCAAACAAATCACCTAATGAGGGAATGGGAAAACATAACTGATTTATCAAGGAAATTATATAACAAGAAAGGTATCTAAAGGAGTGCCAATATCAATGAAAATGTATAAAAACTTATGGTGATGGTTTCCGTCCAAGATGGCTTTTTCTTATAAGAAGACTGCGTAATTTACTTGATTCAAGTCACCTTCATCTGGGTCAGTACACCGCATACTCCACTTTCGATTCGCTGGGAACTCCAATCCTAACCTACCACATCGTCATTGCTTTTCTTCAGGGCTCGTCAGTAAATTCCAAGAAATTGTTTGACAATGCAAAAGTTTTTATTTAAGTCTTATCACCTGAACCTTTCAGACAGATTTCAAAGAATTTTGATTTGCATTCCCTTTCTTCGAGAAAAAGTGTAAACAGGGCTGTTTTAATGAATCCGTAATGCATTTTTGGGATAAGGTCAAAGCTGATGGTGGAGTACGGATTTCAGATCACGTAGCCCTCGATGGATGCAGTTTTCCCCAAAGACAACGAAGAATTTTCGGCAGCTGCTCTGGACGATGATTTCATCAATTTCATCAGCCGAAAACATGCAAATGGATCGCATGCATAGTAAGCGGCAGTTGAAAATTGAAAACGATTATCGATGCGGTTGAAATAATGCAAATGGAATTGGACAATCCGTAGATCATGCCATGTCGAAAAGAGTCATTGCCTTGCAAACTATTGCAGTGCACACATTTTGGTGTGCCTAAACTTACCGTTTATGTCCCTGAGTTTGGGTGCAATGCTCTAGGATTTGGAGAAGGAAATTTATAAAAGATACAGCTTAAAGAAAGTTTTATATTGTTGAGTATTTTATCTTGAGAAAATATTGATCATAATTGATAATAATATTTCTTAATGGTTTGGACTAGTTGAAAAGAATACGTAACAGTAGATAAAATTAATATTTTTATTACAATAAATATTGTATATAACGTTTATGTAAAACATTACAAAAGACGATAATGTAAGCATAAAGTGTTATTTTATTTTAGTTTTTTAACTAAGATAAATATTTAAATATTTTTTATGAATTATCGCTTTGTTATTGTTAACCTAAAATTGTTCTGTGTAGCACCCTTGAACTTTTGTGAACTGAGTTTTCTGGGGGCTGGAGCCTAATTTATGCACCTAGCAGTAGCTTTTTAGGAATTCTAAAATCAAGTCGCGTAATAAATGCATTGGTCTGCCTGCAGACTTGTCCCAGTCCCACTCGAAATGTGTGTCATATATGCATGAGATTTTTGGCGCCTGATTTCTGGAATACGAATTTCAACTAACACTCCAACGAAATGCAAATCCTCTAATGCAGAGAGCTTGAAAGGTGCCAGTAAGTCGGAAAAATGCCTTTAATGCGCCTTAAATGAATTCGACAGAGGTTCAACGTTTGACATTGACATGTGCCAAGGCTTGCTACGGATAAACATTTCTGAGGCTATATAAAAATGCTATCAGGAATTATACGCATAAAGCGATACACAGGAAAGAAAATTTTTGGATTATAATAATTTTCTAAATATAAAAGTTATAGTTAAATACTAGGGTTTTTTGTATGTACTTGCTTAACTTGTGAGGTATTTACAATATTTTTCCAACTTCAATCTTTATTTTAAATCTCAAACAAATGGCATGCGTTTAGCGCCATGCGGGCGCAGCATGCGCAAAGTCCTCCATTTGGCTTGATTTCTCGCATTGAGGTGTTTTGTTGGCCAACGCCAAACATGTGCTGGCCACATGCCCCGTTTCAATACCAATCTCAAGCCTGTCCAGGCGAAGGTGTGAACTATTTGAGGGGACCTGGTCCGGAGCCTTATCTACACATAGAAAAAATCTTGCTGAAAATATCTCTCACCTCAGCTCTACCTTCGACTTCGCTGGGCTCTCCGTTTTCCCATGAGGGAGTTCTCATGGCCCTCTCACACATGGCGAAACTCCAACTGCGGAGCTGGGAAAACAAACAGGACTGGCCACACATGTGAGAACAGACCGGACCGGAGCACGTACTATGCGTAGGTGCGAGTCCTTGGATTACCAGCTATGCAGTTCCCACACATCCTGGCCGGGCCACATGATGGTCTTGCTGTGCTTTTCCCGTAGCGCCAGGCGTGTCCAAATGTTTTCTTGCGGAATTCCTCAAGGCAGAAAATCTCACAGACGTTACTAGGAGTCGGCGCTCGCGGAAAAAAACACACGAGCCAAAGTTACATATGTTGCTTTGTCCATCTATTCAAAAAATTTCCATGTCGGCCCAAAAGGGATTCCCTTGAAGGCGGCGTTTTCCCACGATTTTATAACTGGGCTCGACTTCCAATATTCCCATCGTGTTGAGTTCTCCATATGTGAAATGGGAAATCGCCGTTGCCCTTGGTTTTTTGGCTTGCAGGGGAAAATTCTGATTCGAGAACGCTCGAGATTTTCCGGCTGAGAGCGGGACATGTGGCCAGTAGCCAGTGCCGCTCAGCACCGACTAATGGCCAGGAACACCGCGGTCATTTCGAGTGGACAGGTTGTAAAGAGACCACACCCTCTGCCTCCGGACACTTGACTTTATGCGCCGGCGCAGCACCGCCAGGTAGTCAGTCTGAACAGGTAAACATTTGCCAATATCTCACGCTGACCTATGACACGCGTCAGGTGGTTTTGTCGTGGATTCCGGCAAGTGTGAAACAACCTACTACCTGTTGAGACAATCTTGAATATGAAAAGGCCACAAACCGTGTCAAATGGGAAACGATAAGTAGACATCTTTAACAAAGATTGGTCCATTACCTAGGATTGGTTTTCTTTGATAAACACCACAGATCAATGAATGATATTTCAATTATTGTGCGTTTCAAATTAATAATTTATTTTTTAGGATTATTCAGATGAATGAAGCATTAAATAGATATTAAACTGGGTTCTGGCCAGGGAACAATAACGGAAATTTAGCTTGTAACATTTGCCTGCTGACCAACGGGGAATCCGTAGCCTGATGAGGAATCCAAGTCGCCATATCCTCCGGGTGTGTCTATAATGTTTGGCGGGGCAGGGTTTCGAAACTGATCTGCCGAGAGACGGGTGAATAGAATGCCCACACCCTCGATCATAGAGAGTAGTACTCCTCCGATAATTGCACTTCCTGCCATGGCGGCCATTCCATTGCGTGAGGCTAAAACTCCTCCGGTAACTGCACCGCTCACGATCGAATTCCAGGGATCTTCCTTCTGGCGCAGATGAACCAGACTGCAGTCCACAATACTGAACACTGCTCCCCAGGCAGCAAAACTCCCGGCAATCACGGGCGATCTGGCCTTCATTGCCGCTACGCTTCCGGCAATCCTTCGACCTATACCCTGAGGTGCATTCCGGAATCCCTTCAGGCCCTGAAAGACTCCGCCTCCAATGGAACCCATGGCAAAGGCTCCTCCGCAATCGTCGACGATGCGATGGGGGCAGGGCTCCCGTGAGTACTCCTCCATCCTCCCTCTTTTCCGTAGGAGTTTCTACCTGAGGCCTACAAATTGTTTAATTTTTAGACTATGCCCTAATATTAGATTATTTCTGACCTTAGATTCTTAAAATGTATCTGGGATAAGAAAATGTCTAACATTCAGGGAGTGCGAAGTGACTGGTACGACAAAGCCTACTGAAGCTCGAAAGATAAGGAGAAATGCCATCTATTGCCATCTTCTACTAAAATTTAGGATTAATACCACTTCATGTAAGCAAATGATTCATAGTTTTACTCTAATACTTTTTATTAACTATATACTCGTTTTGACGAATATTTCAATTGGACTTTAAACGGGCTTTAGCTATGTGAACAGCCATTTCGAACTGCAGGTTGTAAGTAAGAAGTACTTGGTTTTCATTTGTGCCCCTCCAGACACCCATTAGCATATAGAACCAAAGTCAGAGCAAACAGAGTCGCACGTGGATCGGGGATCTTTTGCCCTGAAGCTCGACGGCACAAAAAGGTTAAATAGCACAAATGTCGGACCGTAGTTAACCATAAAATTTACTGCCGCAGCTGGACAACTTCGGATCGAGGATGGGGAGTGGACGGTGGGATTGGGATGGGGGGCCTTTCCAAAGACGCAATTCGTACAAAGGTAGACGGTGGGAAACGGAAACAATGAGACCGATTGTCATCGAGCGATAAAACCAAGCCGAACCAAAACCAAAACCAAACCAGAACCAGACCCAATACCATTTTATAATACATGTTCCAGAAAGGGAAGCTTGCGATTGCATGCATAATTATCACGCAAGCATAATCGAAATTTTGAAACTGCCGCAACTGTGTTTGCTTAGCTCGGAAAGGGGGGAGTCTTCGGGCCCTCGATGAATATCTCCGCATAACAAGGTGTCAGACAGCGGTGACAAATGAAAGTGAAACCCCGATCGAAACTGAAATCGATGAGCAGACATATATATGGAAGAGGGAATGGGGACGGTGACGGGGACACCTGGACACACACGAAGCGCCAGGCCATTGTTCCAGGACAACTCTCGTCAACTTGACATGTAAATCGTTAGAACGTGTTGCACTCGATTGATTGCTCTCACTCCCGAGAATATTATCTGAGATCATTTGTCAGGAAATGGCCGCAGGATAAGGCCTTCTATAATTTGTAATTGGAAATAGTGGGCATATTGTTAGATTTCCAGTGAAATCTTCATTTCCACGTTAATTGTTGTCGCTTATAAATGATTGTGTTGGGATTAGATTGATTTGGTGTTAATGTGGGCACATTATGCGAGTGCCCTGAAAGGATTGGCCATTCCTGCGAAGGACGCGAAATGGTCAGGGGTTTCCCACGAACTCGGGAGTTTCTTACCGGATATTTTCCCGGGAAATCACAGGCCAACTGGTATCTCCAATGTGAGAATGGGGAGGGATTGGCTTCGTAGCTTATCTACGGCATGTTATCTATCTTTATATTAAGGTAAAGACCAAAGATTGGATTTCCTATTTGCATTTCAACAGTATAGATTAAATACACAGTAATAACCGGAAAATATTCATATTGAGCAGATGAAGGCAAGCGATACAAATTATTATTCCACTTTCCATCTTCCGATCGCAATTACTCCGTTAGACCAGTGTTTGGGCAGCTGTGATGCAACCTTCTATATCTTTAGGAATATGCATCTGCATAACCGCTGACAAAGGAATCGAGAACGGAACTCATTTGCCCGACTCGAGGAGAATCCCTGCACATGCCAAAACGCTAGCGGAGAACAAAGGGGCGAAACAATTGCGGTTGCATTACCCCAGAAGTCCAATTCAAATTCCGACAGCCTCCAGCCGGGCAATGAAATCCAAAATTCGGAATCAAAGGGCAGGCCAGGAGTCGACAAAGGATGTGGCTCAGGTAGGACGCAGGGGCCTGCCGCCAAAATAAATGCTGAAAAATCTCGAACGGTGCACTATTGTTGTGTCCTGAGCCCCGACTGTGATTACTGGTATTCCGATGACGATCATAAATGCGATTCTTTCAAACACTTAAAGAAATGGATTGGTACATTAAGGAAAATTTATACATTTTTAAAGATATTTTTAAAAAATTAAAATAGTGCAAAATACATTATTAAAAACGATTCTATAACTTTTTATTTGCATATTTTCGGATTTTGTTATAAAGATAGCACGTTGTAATGATTCGAGTTTTATTTTTAGATCTATAGTATTAAAAATATTCAAGAAAGCATTAATAAATAGTATGCTCTCATTAACTTGTCGCAATCGTTCCCATATTTCTCGATGTGTATTTAATAAATTCCCCTCCTCAGCACTCGCCATTGTACGCCCGCAGATGCAAGTCAACGTCCGAATCGAGTCTCGTTTTTTTGGGCTGAGGGCAAACAGATGCACGTCTTGCCAAAAACCTTAAAATGAAAACAGAAAATCAGAAAACCCAAGCCAAAGGCCCAAGACGAAGACGCGCCAAAGGAGAAGAATCCAGGGCTGAGCTGCAGCTGTCAATGCCAAGCCACCAACGCGCCACCCTCGAGTTGACATTATTTCCAGCACCGATTTGTGATTCCTGATTTCCGAATGCTCCTGCCTGCCTACAGGCGCAGATGCGATGTCCTTTGGGTTTCCTCAGCCGCATTGTTGTTGGCCGTTCACCCGTCCGCCCGGTGCAATGATTTTTTCGTTAACGGCTCCTTGACTGCTTTACGTTTGTGTGGGTTTTTTTTGCAGGCTCTGTCCAAGCAGCATCCTTCTTAGCTCAAAAGTCCTGCCAAAAAGGTGTTGGAAATCCTGTTAATAGGGGAGTTTCTCTTGCCTGACCTCGCATAACTTGGTGTGCGGCTGGGGGAGGGAGGAGCTATGACCAGTATATCAAGGATTAGGGATATAGTAGAAGGACTTTTTTAGATTCGGAGCCTTTTGCACCTGGAAGATCTAACCTTTTTCCTTTTTACACTAAGTGAAGTTCAAAATTTAAAAGTTTTTCGGATATTTATTAAACAATTAAACAAGCAATTTAATAATTAACACACAGAAAATAAGGTTGCTCAAACCAAAAATTTTGTGCCTTTCTTTCGGAAGCATTTCCGCACGGAAATCACTTTCATTCGTAAATAATCACCTTCAACCCCTGCTGTCAGACAAAAAACTCTCCCTTTTTATGTAGGCCATAATCACCGCAACAGAATTAAATAATATTTACACACTTCATTTAGGAGACACGTGTAATAGGCTAAACAGAGTGTTTAGCGTGGCCAACAAGCAGGACACACGCGATGTCCCCTAATCAGCTTAGTCGTTGCAGGATAATGGAAAGTTGGGGGCGACGATGACGACAGGACGCTGACAACAGAACTCGTAATGCCGGCACTACATTGACAGGATAACGAACCGTGAATAGGCGCGAAACCTGCCAGGGACCTAAAAAACGGAATTCAAGGGGGAATCGAGCTGAAAGTCAAGGCAGCTGCCACAAGTGTAGGACTTGCGACAATAGAGCTTGCTGCTCGGATAGTTTTTGGGGTCTGTCTGGATTTTCAGACCCATCGGGGTCGGGGGTCATTCACAATTTGGCGCGAACAATGGGTCACAGGTAGCGATGGAACCCGCACATAATCGCCGCCAGATACGGCCAGGTGATCCAACTTTTTGATTTCTTCTGGCTAAAGGACATTGATACGCCGGCTTCATCATCGAAGGATTCCGGGAAGCAATTCCTTTCGCTGGCTTTTCAAAACATTTACTCCAATGTTCGTCCCTTTGTGTCGCGAACCTATTGATTGTGCAATGCACCCGGTCCACACACATACACAGCCCGTGGCAGTGATTTTCCCTGCTTCTCCGATCTTCGATTTATGGATCGCAGCTCCTTTGTTCCGTGCCAAAAAGAAAAAGAGCCTGACCTGGGGGTAGTAGAGTAATCAACAATTCATTGTCAACGAGATCACACATCGTATATCTTGGGCCATAGTTTGTTTTCCTTGGTGGTATCCTTAATGTACATTCCTTTCTTTTCCTTTCTCTTTTTTTCCTCTATTTTTTTTTGCAAAAGGTGCACCAGGCCAGGTGAGCCAAAGATACTGTTAGGTTATGATGGAACTATTTGATTCTTGGAGAGTGGGGGTTCAAAAAGCAACCCAGACTTGAAAGCTGGAAAAACAGTTAAAGGTATCTTGAAGAAAAAAACCCAAAAACTATCTGATATACTAATCTTTTATTTCGTATAATAGTCCTTATAAAACGTATATCATTAAAATAATAAATAAAACAAGGCAGCATAGCGATACAGATATATTATATGTAAGATTTTAATTTATTTGTAATTTAATGTGTTCCAAATCTTTATTTTCCACATTTTCTTCTACATTTTATTTTCTCTATCATTCCTCTCTTCTTGAGTTTTCTTTTCCCTCTCTTCGATCCAATTCTTTTTGCAATACGATTTAGCCTGGCTCCTCTTCCAACAATGCCAACTAAACTCTGCAGAATCTTGTGTTCCCTCTTTATTGTTAGCTATAACAAATGAGCCAGGACAAGGTGCAAAAATGGGACGGGCCCATTGTCAGCGAAATTCAACAAAAACAACAAGGCACAGGGAAAATTGAGAAACAGTTGAGCACCTGCAGAAATCCCAAACGAGTCGGGGAAAAAAGTATGAGTACCGAAAGGGTTTTCCCCCAATGTTGAGTTAATGAATGAAGTGGAAAATACTTGCTCGGCAATCATCTACGTAATGCTAATGAGCGGACCAGCCCAACCAGGGATTTTTGCAAGTCAGGTACTTCAGCGGATATGTGGGCGACAAGTGCGGATTTTCCCGCGGAATGAATGAGAACCGCGGGGTTATCCGCGGTGTCCTGCTGGCAATTCCGCGGCCAAGGATTTTGACGCGGTGATCATTAGGTAGATGTATGCCTGGATGTGTCATGGCGGTTAGTTAGGCGGAATTACACACGTAATAACCGAGGTATCCGGGATGACCCACCAGGTAGGATATAGGACATGTAGAAAACCCCCATCATGTTTTCCCACTCGTCGGTTGTTTTGCTTGAGTTTCGCTGACTGCGTAATTGGATAAGCTGGGAAATTACTTTAAATCCAGCTCTGATCCACATCCGGAGAGTGGTCGAAGGGAAATCCGTCGTAGGGAAATACAAAATGGAAATGCGGCTGGGTTATTGGCTCGACATTTCCCAATTTCCCTCACGCCATTGGTCGCAGGATCGCGGGGAATTGGAATTCCGCGTTGGAATTTTTTGTCACCTCTTGGGTTTATCAAAACTTTTGGGTTTGCTACGGATTTTTTCCAATTTTACCATTGCGCCTGGTTTTTTTTTGATGGACTGGGAAATCGGACTTGGCTATGCGGGCTTGTCTGTTTTTCCGGGCACGAAGTCTGCATGTCAGCCTCTATGCGGGAGTGGGAGTTAGGAAAGTTTCCCAGCGATAGTTGGAGGGGTGGCGAAAAAGTCTGGAGGTGCACGGTGGGAAGTTGTGTGTGCGTTATGAGGCAACGAGTCAAAGATCAGGGAAGATAAAAGCAAGGATGGTGGGAAATGACCAGGATTCAGTTAGATCCAGCTGGATAGATGGATATTTAGGGTAGCTTTATTTAATATGCTTTAACTATATTAGACTTTAAGTTCAATTTGTATAAAATTAAAAGCTTTATTTATTTCATTACTTAGTTTTATCATTAATTAATATATGCTTAATACTACTTACTATACTATAACTAGACTTTCTTTTAACTAATTTGTTAAACGAATGGAATGATTAATAAAAACAGTGAAAATTATTATTAATAAAAAAGATAATTATTGCCTCTGGTTTTTATTAAAATATAATACAAATAACAATTTTTACATTTTTTTAATTTATGATGGTGGCAGTTATAACTTAAAAAAGCATTTGATTAGTACTTGGCACATGTAATGGGCTCTTCATGTTTTACAAGGAAATCTATAAAATGTTTACAGTTTTCCAAAAGTCGTGGGAACAGGAAAATCCCAAAGACCCAAGGTAAGCTCAAAGGAGGCTTGGCGGAGCTGACAGATAACATCAGCTCCTTTTTGGTTATATAATGATGGCTTCTATGTCCCCGGGTAATCTTTACCGAACTCCAGCCAATGAGCCACTGGAGATGATCCATAAGTCAGCGTAGAGTGCACCCTAGAGTTGACACTTGGTGTTCGAATTCGGCTCATTATCAGAGTTATTTTTGGAACACCTCTCTGCGAAGGTGTCAGTTTTGTCAGTGCGTGTCGCTCAGGTTCAACTCCCCCCAAAAACGGAATTTAGAGCCCCGGCAGATGTACTCGAAGCACTCGAGCTAAGTGCAGAAAACCACCCCAAAAACTCATACTAGGAGTCCAATTTGACTCGTGCTTAAAAATAGAAAATTACTTAGGGTGATGCATAGGTGTAGGGAAGTGATAGTGTAACTTGCATTTCGGAGTCTCCTGACCTGCAGGAGTTATTACGGGTGGGTTGCGGACATGCCGGGGAAATTGGAGAGCCAGCTCTGGCTGTCATAACTTATAGGGGGATCCTTATTCCTGGGAGGGTGCGCCTGCGCCTGGTCTTCCTAAAAGAGAAGTAGAAAATCTCCAGAGAGAGAGAGCAGGTAGAGGGAAGTAAGGGAAATACGCAATAAGGGTATGGGAAAAGTACTATTGTTGTTGTTGCTAGGTAGCGACGCACACGTGTGAGTATTTTTTTGTTTTGAAGAAGAACCACCACCAAATGGTGGCAGCGACGTTGGCAGAGGCGCAGAGTTCCGGGTATAAAAGAGCGTGCTTGACGGTCGACCTGTCACAGCCACCTCAGCTCTCGTTGAGAACGCAACCACCGCTCTATATCTCGATCCCGAACTATATAAATCGCCCCTCGGACGAACACGCACGATCTCTCGATATATCGATCTCGATCTGTACCGGAAATTAAAACTTAATCGCACACTTTAAAAATGGCCGCCAACTACAAGAGTTGCCCGCTGAAGAAGCGCCCAATTGTCTTCGTGGAGGAGCGTCTGCCGCAAACGGAGGCCTTGGCTCTGACCAAGGACTCGCTGTTTTCCGAAGATCAGCCGCAGGATCTCTCTTTGAAGAGATGTCGCGAAGAGGAGACTCAGGATTACCAGCAGCCCGAACCGAAACGTGACTATGTGTTGAATCTCTCCAAGACACCGGAAAGGATCTCTAACTCAAACTCCTGCCTGCTGTCGCCGCCAGCTGAATCTCAGGATTACCAGCCCACCGACATCCATATGCGTGGACTCACCGCAGGAACTACGGGTTATACCACTGTTAGCCCCGCCACGGTTAATCCCTTCCAGTCCGCCTTTGTGATGGCTGCCGGATGCAATCCCATCTCTGCTCTGTGGAGCAGCTATCAGCCCCATTTGGCTGCCTTTCCCTCGCCAGCCAGCTCATTGGCATCACCTCAGTCGGTCTACAGCTACCAGCACATGACACCGCCCTCCAGCCCAGGATCCGATGTTGAAACCGGCTCCGAACCAGAGGATCTGTCCGTGAGGAATGACATCCCACTGCCGGCTCTGTTCCATCTCTTTGATGAGGCCAAGTCCAGCAGTAGCGGTGCTAGTGTAAGCAGCTCATCCGGATATTCCTACACTCCGGCCATGAATGCCTCGTCTACGAATGTTGCTGCAAACCATGCCAAGAACTATCGCTTCAAGTGCGACGAATGCCAGAAGATGTACTCCACCTCGATGGGCCTGTCCAAGCATCGCCAGTTCCACTGCCCAGCTGCCGAGTGCAACCAGGAGAAGAAGACGCACTCTTGCGAGGAGTGTGGCAAGCTGTACACCACCATTGGAGCTCTGAAGATGCACATTCGCACCCACACTCTGCCCTGCAAGTGCCCCATCTGTGGCAAGGCCTTCTCCCGACCATGGTTGCTCCAGGGACACATCCGCACCCATACAGGGGAGAAGCCATTCCAGTGCAACGACTGCCCACGATCATTTGCCGACCGCTCGAACCTGCGAGCCCATCAGCAGACCCACGTGGACGTCAAGAAGTACGCCTGCCAGGTGTGCCACAAATCCTTCTCGAGGATGTCGCTCCTGAACAAGCACTCCAGCTCCAACTGCACTATCACCATTGCGTAGGATTCTCAAATCTAGAATCCTTTGGCAAGACTTAACATACAAATCCTCACATTCCGCTGGCGAAGACCAAACAAACAGACAATAATTAAGATTAGCTTGTACTAAGTCGATTCGGTTTTGGTGCTATTATTAATATATTTATTTCAGTTCTAGTACTCATAGCCTAAGTTCATGTACATTCCTTCATTGTCGCAGCATTTGACCAAATTTATTCATTTAATTATTATTCTAATTTATATATTCTCAATATTGTTAGGACAACTGTTGTTAAGATTATTTCTAGTTTTAAGATAATGAATATTTTTATAAAATAAAACAAACAAAATCAGAAAAGAAATTTTTATGGTTCTTTTACTTCTAAAAGTTTTGAAAACTTTTCTTCCAGGAAAAAGTTATAAAATGCCCCTTAGGGCTAAGTAAGAGGATAATATATATCCCTAAATCTTCTACAGAATGTAAAGTTTATTTCATAAAAGATCATGAAATATAACAAATTCAAATAGTTGAACCAAATTCTAAACTATTCTTGCAATAGTTGCTAAGGGCATAAAAATATACAATAATTAACAGGAAACCAAACATCCGCACATTGGAGCCCCTTCTCATATTTTGTGACAATTTCCGCAAAACCCTCTCGGAAAACAGAAATCACAACAATAGCAATATCGAATTCTCGGAGAAAACACCTTTGGCATGTGCAAACAGGGAACCGATTTGTCATACACTTTCCATTTCGGGGACTTCCTTTCAACCCGCCCCCAGTAATAATATTCCATCAATCCATATCAGACAGAGTTTTGCACCTTTCGCCAATGCAAATATTTAATTAGCTGACACCGCAGACGCTCCACGTTTTCTTTTCTGCAATCCTTTGCCAGCATATTTGACGAACGGATCTCGGCGCATGCGTCCCGAGTCCCAAAAGGATACTAAAGGACCAAGGACTGCAGGTGATAAACGTAGGGACGGCTGCTTATCGAGTCCTGATTGACATGGCAGACGGTAGTTCAGGTCCTGATTGGATTGGATTACCACTGAAGCATGCTCTAAACCGAAACCCAGACGAGGTTTATCTGACTATTTGATTAGAGCCTTGCAGTGATAAGACTTCAGGTTGTACAGGTATGGAGTACAAATCCAAAGTATGAAAGGACGATACAAATTAGGCACGTACTGCTAATCAGAGTAAGCTGCATTTTACAAATAAATTAATAAAGTTATTATTTGGGCCTTGGCCAATGCTTAAATGCCTGATCTTAGGATAATATATTAGAATATACGAGGTGTGTTCAAAAAGTAAGGTGACTTTTCAAATTTCGCGGGCAACATATTTTCGATTATCGATTTTTTTGTTTTGTTATATTGGTACACTCTTCCCTAACATCTGTATCAAGTTTCAATGGAACATCCTCTTTTGTTTGGTTGTGAGAGGCGTAAAGTTACAAGTTATTTTGCGAGCTCGGCGATTTTTGCTATCGAAAAATATGGATCAAAGGATTTGCATCAAATTTTTGTGTAAAAAATAAAAATTAAGTGCTCTGAAACACTTGAAATGTTGACAGTGGCATACGGTGAAACTGTTCCGAGTAAAAAAAATGTGTACAAGTGGTACAAACTCTTCCAAGATGGCCGGGAAGATGCCAATGACCAGCCTCGCTCTGGACGCCCAAGCACGTCAACAACTGATGAAAACGTTCAAGCAGTGGCGAAAATTGTTTTGGAAAATCGTCGAATCACTATCAGAGAAGTTGCTGAAGATGTCGGTATATCGCTTGGCTCGTGCCATGAAATTTTTTCAAACGTTTTGGGTATGAGTCGTGTGTCAGCGAAGTTTGTTCCGAAATTGCTGAATTTTGACCAAAAGAACCGTCGCATGAGCATCGTTCAAGAGCTGTTGAATGACGTCAACGACGACCCAGATTTACTCAAAAGGGTCATAACTGGTGACGAATCATGGGTATATGGTTATGATATCGAAACCAAAGCCCAATCGTCCCAATGGAAGAGCCCAGGCGAGCCAAGACCGAAAAAAGCACGCCAAGTTCGATCAAATGTCAAAGTTTTGATCACTGTTTTCTTCGATTACCATGGCGTGGTGCATCAGGAGTTCTTACCATATGGTCGTACGGTCAATAAAACAGTATTATCTGGAAGTTATGCGCCGTTTGCGAGAAGCAATACGAAAGAAACGTCCAGAATTGTGGAAAACAATTCATGGCTTTTGCATCACGATAATGCCCCTGCTCACTCATCTTTGCTTGTGAGAGATTTTTTGGCCAAAAACAACACCACAATAATGCCTCAGCCACCATATTCACCGGATTTGGCCCCATGTGACTTTTTCTTGTTCCCAAAACTGAAGAGACCTATGAAAGGACGGAGATTTGCAACGATTGAAGAGATAAAGACTGCATCGCTGCAAGAGCTCAAGGCTATACCGAAAAGTGCTTATGGGAAGTGCTTTGAGGATTGGAAAAACCGTTGGCATAAGTGTATTGTATCTGAGGGGGATTACTTTGAAGGGGACAACATAAATATTGATAAATAAATTAATAGTTTTTCTTGAAAATACAAAGTCACCTTACTTTTTGAACACACCTCGTATTTATGCAGTTTATATTTTCATACTTTCATTGAACCTTTTTATTGGTTATATTGGGTTTTATTTTTAGCCGAAATCCTATAAAATGTTTGACTGCAAGACTCTAATAATCGATTGTGGGTGTAACGGAATGGGACAACCATTAGCGACATTTTCCTGCTGCGGCAACACCTTTTGGCCATAAATAAGGCGGCCCACAAAAGCGTATTCCCAGAAGGAGTCGATTCAGACAAAGACCAATCATTCCAGTTCCTCGGTAATCAGAGCGCGTCTCTTGTGCAATTGCAAAAAACTGCAGTACAGATGTAACTGGTCACAATGCATCAGCCGTAAGGGAAACACCTTGCGGAAAAGACAATGGAGTACGCAGCCGAGTCTAAGGATCGGTGTACCTGTCGCCCGATTGTCTGCCCAAGATTTCTTCACCCAGTGACCTACTGGGAGAGCTCTGCGACCGAATTCTGTGATGTCTTCCGCCCATTGTTGCTGCGGCATCTTTTTTTTCCATTGTCCTGCGGCTAATCACTGCTTAGGGAAGCCAAAAAGAATCACAGACCACAGAAGTCAGCCGCTCTATTCGCTTGGCTGAATGCAAATCCCGCGCCGGGAATCGATCCCAAAGCCACCTGAGATCTGGGACTTACTCCCCATTAGTCCGGCAACGCGATAACAAATTGCAATTGACAAAGCAAACGAGATGCGATCGATGGAAGCCACATATCGGAGCCTCCAATGTGGATGCGATTCCGATTTCGATTCCGTGGCCCATTCCATGCCATACAAATCGATGGCGGTCCGAGATACAAGCTGCGGCATTTGTAATTGCCAAGACATCTGGGGGACAGAAGAGGAGCAGGAGGAGTATGAGGACCAGGAGGAGCAAGAGGATCGGGCCAGGCAATCAGCGAGCGGCGCATGTCACAGAGTGCAAGCAAAAACTAGAAAAGTATATTTTGGTTTTCGAATCCGAAGAGTGCAGTACTCTTTGAAAATATATATTTTATGTGAAAGCTAAGATATGAACCAAGATGAACCGATTATATTATATAATTCATTTTTTAATTAATATTGAACTTTTGACTTTGGCACAAAATCAAAATACCCCACGAAAGAGTATATTGCAAAAAAGAAAGAAATGCCTGCGAAAAGGCAAGACAAAAACCTCATGCAAAACAAACATTAGGAAATCCAATCCGAGCTCAGGCATCCAGCATCCAACATTCAGCAGCCAGCAGCCACTTAGGCAGTCACTCAGTGGAAAAGCCAGCATTGGAGGAGTTGAGGAGTCGCCAGGTCGAGGAGTATGGTGCAGGAATCGTGGACCAAGTCGTCGTTTAGGACGTCTGAGATTACGAGCGATTACGTTTTACTCCAAATTTGTATGCTGCCAGAGTTGTAATTGAAAAAGCATCAACATTAATCTTGGTACTCGCACACACATCGCCAGCCAGCCAGCTAGCGATTTTCGATTTCGATTGGGAATCGGATTTCGTAAGCGGCCGGGAGATGCCAGATAAGCGGGTGTAAGTGCGGGTAAGTCTGATCCGAAAAAAATACATATTGCTTAATCGCTGCGCTGATGTGGAGCAGTAGATATGATCGGCAGATCTCCAACCAGCCCCTCTCAGGAGTCCACAAATTCAACACCGACAAGTGAGCGATGTGCGATCGCATGGCATAAATCAAATCCCGGAGAGAAATTGCGCCGCTGGCTGACAGCCCAGCCACGACAACTGTCCATCGCATCGCATTGGATCCATCCAGCAATCCAGTCATCCAAGCGGAGCTCAACTTTATGCTTTATGCCAGGCCACATGCAAATGATCGTGCCCAGCATTCGACACCGGCCTGCGGATCGCGGATGGCAACCTGTCAGCGATCAGCGACCTTAACTGTAAAGCCAGTCGCAGACCGCATAGGTTCTATGTCCCACACTAAAAACAAAAGATTGAATCATGCAAAAAAATTAATATTTAACATTGGAAAAAATAACAAGAAGTAATAACTGATGAAGAGGTATGTTGGTATTTAAAAGATCATTTCTAAAATTTTTTCCAAAACAGGGCACAAGGACCATGTTCTTTCACATACCTTCATTTTTTTCCCCAGTGCATTCTTGAGTTACATGACCGGCGAAACCTGGCGTTAGTAGTCGCTAAGTGCAGTCAAGAGACTGCGGACTCGAGACTCCTGTGGCCATCAACTTGATGATGAGGCAGGCAGATCACCCAGCTCCCCGAGCTTCCCCAGCCAAAAGCACCTCCCATAACCTAGGCACCATCTCTTAACCCCCTCGTGGGCTTCGTGCCTGGACTGCTGTAGATCGTCGAGCGTTGATAAATGTTGTTACTTGTCGTTGGATGTTTGTAGTCTTCTGAGTTGTCGACAAGCCCGATCGATGGGTGGTTATAGTTGACATGTCGCTCTGTGTTTGCTAGGCCCATCATCCCGGGATCTGAAATGGCATTGGGATTGGGATCGGGATAGGAAGACGGGACCAGGGCCACGATCGCCCCAGGGCTAGCACACTGATTGCTTTTGCCGGTGACATGTTCGCAAAACAGTTAATTGTGGTTATGATTTGGTCTTGTCTCCATTTAATTAGCCGCCTTATATGCCGCACTAAAATTACCTTCACTTCCTGCTTGACATCTTTGATCATCTGTGGCTCATCTGCAATTTGAATTTCCCAAGAGCCACGATCCAGGTATAA